CTCGCGCCTTGAAGTAGGGCATTTGAAAAATCGAAATTTATCATAATACTTTAAGAATGTGACTTTTATGACTGGTAGTGTTTCTATGCCCATGGTGTGGAAATTCACATCTTTGCATAGCCCCTTCTTGATCATTTCACCCCTTTTTCTATTTTTGAATTCCTTGATTTTTATTGGTTTTAGAAGCTGAAACAAAGGTAGAGGAGGGCAGAAGGAGCTATTTTTCTAAACAGAATTATTTTATTACAGATATTTGCAGAAACCTTAGTCAAAGCAGAGTCTACTTCAATAAATTTAAAAAAATGGATCTTCCATTATTTAGAAATTTCTTTAAAAACTTGTATTGAGGGATTTCAGTATGCTAAATTGTATGTAAGGAACTTAGTTGCATTTTTAACCCTCATTATGCTTTGAGATCATAAAGTTCAATAGACCATAAATGAATGCACCTATTATATAAAGGAGCTCAGAATTACTTCGTTAATTATTATAAGTTATGTCAAAGTTAGTTTATTTTTATTAATATGGCAGTAATTCATTGCCACATCTAGAGATGTGCTTGCCCCCTAAAATTTTGGGAATTTTTTTTGAAACTGTGTTTTGCACTGATAAAGTATTGACGTTATTATCTCTTGTACCCAGAGGATATTTGAGAAAACGTTAGAATGAAATACAATATTGACAAAGCTAAATTATTAGTTTCCTAAAGTAGTAAGAACTTATGTTTTAAAATTATGTGAACTATTTTCAGGTCTTACCAAAAGAATTTTAAAAATTTTAAATTCTTTCATTATGCGTCACTGTAATTTGTATCTGTAAAAGTTAATTTAATATAGATGCAAGTTTATAGGGAAGATATTTTGGTTTTAGGGAGCTCTTTAAAAAAAATAAACCTACTTAGTGAATACATATTATATTTTGTGAGAAATACGATGCATGGCATTCTCCTTCCCTTTCTTAAGGAGCTTAAAAACTTGATGCGTAGGAAAAGTATACACTTATAAGGCAGGTTAGCATTTTGTAGATGTAGAAATTGAGGATTAGGGAGATTAAGTTACTTGGTCACAGGTTTATTAGATAGTAGGAACCCAATTATATGACTATACATAAGGGTAATTTTTTCTACTACACCCTTCTACTTCTCATTGAAGGTTTCCTAACTGCATTTTAAGAGAGTATTTTGGGTAGAATAAGTAGAATCTAGAGTAACCTTTGCTATCTGTGATTTTAGGTAGGCTACTTAAACTTTCACACCAATTCCTCATTGTAAAATGAAGCTAATCATATCTACAGGGGCAATAATGAAGCTGAAAAGAGAATTAAATTAGTAAAATTTGTAAAGTACTATGCTTATTCATATGAAAGTTCAAAAGATGGTAGATATTATGTTTGTAAGGCATGAGCAATTGGCTCTCTTCTATGTAAAATGTCCAGTATGCATTAGATGCTTTGCCTTGTAAAGGTTTGGGTGAAAATCATTCCAAACAGAAAGTATTCTAATATATTATAGTTATGCCATTTTCTGACCTGTATACCCATATGTCTTTTTTCCCCTTTTTTTGTTAACATTTGTTAGGTGGTTACATATGAATGAATTCTTATTTTTTCAGAACAACTCAGGAGATACATAGTTGTTATCCCTTTACAAGTGAGATCATTGAAGATCTCTTAGAAAATTGTAATGTGCCCAGGGTCGTTTACCTAGTTAGTGGTGTACCTGGATTACTAGCTCACGTCTTCTGAATTCAGCGTGAACTTTATATGCTACATGGTCACCAGTCCTAACTGGCATCTCTTCCTGAGATGATAATGCTACTATTTTTAGCACATGAAATACAAGCATTATTTTATTGCACTTCACAATTGTTTTTTTTTTTTTTTTTTTAACAAATTGAAGGCAATAGCCCTCACTAGCAAAAACATTAGGACTTGCTTTATTGTGGTGGTCTGGAAAGGAACCTACAATACCTCCGAGGTGTGTCTGCATAGATATTGGTTCATTTTGGTTGGATATCAGAGAATAGCATGATCAGATTTGTGTTTTTGTAAGATAACAATACTTAACCAAGGATTAGTAGGATTGTGAGCCATTGTTGAGGGTTCAACCTCTACTGGTGTACACCTTTGTGGTGGACCAGTCTTCAAGGTTGAACAAATGCCTGTAGCTAGCTAGCTAGCTACAACCCTCCAACTCAGTTTCCCATCAACACTTCATATTCATCACATATAAAACAAATTTTGAACTTTAAGTTTTATTTGATCCTTTGTTAAGTTTGTTCTGTTTTTCTGATTTCCTGAGTAAATAAGTTTTTCTGAGTAAATCAGGAGTATTTACTCCTTATTCTTCTTACTGGTTGCCTTACCTGTAATCAGGCCAGAAACCTAGGAGTTACCACCACCCCTTGTCAATTCAAGATCCTAAATATATCTGAAATGCACACTTTCTTTATCTCTAAAAAAGGCACATAAGGCTATTCATAATCTAGTTCATCCTTATGTATTTATAAGGCCTCACTCATTTCCGTCTTCTGAATTACTTGGAATTTTCAGAATGGACTGAGATGATTCTGATGTTTTCATATTTACTGTTTCCTCAGCCTCAGATGCCTACCCACCCTGAATTTATCAGGCAAACGTGTACTCATCTTAAGTCTTAATTTATACATCTCCTGAGGGAAATCTTCTCTAGATTCCTCTTGTCCATTCCCCATTCTTATGAGTCATTTTATCTTTACCGTAGGTTTATAGTCATATTTTTATTACTTGCTTAAATAAAATCAATCTCTTGTACAAAACTGCTACCCTTTGATGGTAGAGACTGTGTAATAATAATAAATTTTGTCCAGTTCAGTTATGAAATGAGCTGTACTTTCATTTAAGTATTTATCCATGAACCTGTACTTTGTCATTTCATCTAAGATATTAAAGTGCTATTTATTTTTGTATTCCTAGTACCTTGTGACCTACTGTGGATGCTGTGGAGAAACAGTGTAGTATTGTAGAAATAGCTTGGACTTGACTGTTAAACAGATCTGTATTTGAATTCTAACTCTTTTTACTGGTGGTATGATTTGGGTGGCTTAATTAACCTCTCTGTGGTGTAAAATGTCCAGCATGTATTAGATGCTTAATAAATATTTATTTCCTTTGTTGTTGTTTTTTTTTTTTTTGCCTTCAATATATATTCGTTGAATGCATAAATAAGATTTACACTAAGCATTGGAAAATTGGGCCTGGAATTTAGAACAGACATTAGGGTAGGAGACAGATTTGGGGATTATGAGCATGCAGGTTTAAAGTTAACATGAGAGGTTGAAATCACCCAAGGAGAATATGAAGTAGAGAGTAAAAGAAGACTGAAGATGGAACATTGAGAGAAGCCTAGTATTTGAAGGTCAGGGAGAAGGATAATAATGCCTTTGGAAGAAGTGATAGGAGACAGATCCCATGCTTAAATGGCTCTCTAGGCTTTCAGCATTTCTTTCTGAAAGATCCCTTGGGAGAATGTGGTGTTGATGACTCAGAATATGGGGAAATCAAGTAAGATAAGACCTGAAAGTATCCAAAAGTATTTGGCAATTTGGAGGTCATGGGTAACCTTAGTGTGTGTTTGGTTTCATGGGGAAGTATGCATGGAAAGCAGGTAGTGAAGACATTGAAGTTCAGACATGAACTTTGGGATTAAAATGTGTTACCATTTCATTACTGAAGAAATATTAGTAATAAAAACTACTGTATCTTGAATGCACATTTGGTGCCAGACACTATGCTAAGCAGTTGGGTTTTTTATCATTACAGTAACTCTGGGGTTAGTGGTATTGTCTCCATTTACTGATGAGGAAATGAGTGAGGGCTTGGAGAGTTTATGTAATTTTTAATTGGTAACAGCCTATTGCTATATTTGAATACAAAGATGTAGGACTCTAATAAATGATAACTCTTAGTCACGTCCATATTAATGTTTGTAGTATTCTCTATGTGCTTTTGTACACGTATTTTAGTATGGCATCACTTTTATTTATTTTTTATTTTTATTTTTTTAGCTGAGCCATCCTGCCACCTATTGGCAGCTCAGCCGCAGCTCAGCTCGGGCCAGGAATCGAACCGGTGACCCTGTGGCTCAGAGCTTGCATTCTTGAGTGAGCTCTTAACCAACTGAGCCAGTTGGCTGGTCCCCTTGGCATCACTTTTATATTTAATATTCCTTTTATTTTCCCTTTAAGTGTTTGAATTATATATAGTAACAAATTAGGGAGATCTTGCCTCTTGTATATTAATTCTTTCATGTGGGGCTTGAGTGATTCACCAATAAGTAGTTCCTTTCAGGTATTGTGAAGACACTGAAAATATAATGATTGCAAAATTTTAAAGCCTCAACAGAATGAAATTAACTACATTTCAATTTTGCCATATATCATGTTCCAGTTTTAACATTTTAAACTACTTGGGCTTTGGTACCTTTTTCTTTATGTCATGTAACTACCACACACTTGTGGTTCAAATTAACACTCAAAATAAATTGAAATTAAAAAAAGTATTTTGGGACTGTAAGTATAATAGTTTGAAACTTTGGAGAAGAGAGTTTACATAGAATTTCTGCTATAAAAGCTTTAAAAATTTAGGCATTATAAATGAATTGCCTACTCATCTACAATTCAGAGGACATAAATACTGAAAGGAGAAGATAAGTAATTAGGAGATGATAAATAAAGAGATGATGAGAAATGGTAAAGTAGTCTATTCCAGATACATAAAATTTCTAATGTATTGGTGGTTAGTTTTCTAACAGGTAATGAAGAAACTGAAGAATAGTAGTTTATCAAATAGTTGACAAGTGATATTCATTTCTCTAGATTAAATAGGGAAGCATATTGGTAAAAAGTAAAACAGAAGCTCATATATGATGGTTGAGTTTTCTAGACTTTCCAGTGACCTCGCTAATCAATATACTGGGTGCCAAAAACATGTATACACATGCCTTGTATTCATCTTTGTTATTGGTATATACTGAGTATTACAATTTTAATACAGTTTTTTCCTTTCTTAAATGTGTATGCATTTTTTGGCACCCTCTGTATTAGCATTTATTTATATTTTGTAGACATTTATTTTTGAATAGGTATACATGCACATGGTAAAGCATTAAAAAGGGGTTTACAGTAAAAAGTAAGTCTGCCTTTCATTTCTGTCTCTAACCATTGGTGCCCTTCCCTGGAGCAACCACTATTAACCATTTTTTGTGTATTCTTCGAGACCTTTCATGCATATTCAAGCATAAACATGTACATACATATACATTTTTCTCACAAATGATATTAGAAATGCATCCCACTTAAAAAGACATTTTACAATATATCTTGCAGGTTATTTTATATCAAATTATATAGCTGGGTCATTCTTTCTTTTTTATTTTTTATTTTTTTTTAGCTGAGCCATCCTGCTACCTGTTGGCAGCTCAGCGGCTGCTCAGCTCGGGCTGGACTCGAACCACTGTTGCTCAGAGCTCAAACTCTTGAGCGAGCTCTTAACCAACTGAGCCACTCAGCCGGCCCTGGGTCATTCTTTCTGATACATGAATTATATTCTGTTGCATGAGCATACCATAATTCCTTTTAACTAGTTAGTTTTTTTTCCATGTTTTACTATTCCAAACAATGATGCAGTGAATGCTCTTGTACTTAGGCCGTTTCACACATGGATATATTTTTACAGGATAAATGTCTAGGAGTAAAGTTGTTTGGGTCAGAAAAAATGCATTTTACATTTTGATAAATATTACTAAATACTCCACATAAAAGTGATACTAATTTATACTTTCACCAGCAATCATGTAGCGTTCCTGTTTCCCCTTTATCAATACATAGTAATATCAACATTTTTAATCTTGACCATTCTGATAGGTAAAAAATGGCATCTTGTAGTTTTAATTTGCATTTCTTTTGTGTAAGGTACGCCTCTTTTTAAAAATTCATTTGTTTTTTTTTTTTGAGAAATGTCATATTCTTTGACTTTTATTCTTTTGGTTTCTTAATGATTTGTAGAGACTGTATAAAGGAAGATTTTTGTTCTTTTTTTGTCTTTTAAAAGTTTTTGCATATAGGTTTTAAACTGATATAAACTTTTGTGTATAACTTTTGGATTTCAGATCATACTTAGAAAGTCCTTTTGTGATTTGAAATTATATAAAAGAGTCTCCTATGTTTCCATCTAGAGTTTTTAGGATGTCATTTTTTGTTTGTCTTTGAGCCATCTAGAATTTATATTGGTTTAAGGTATAAACTAAAGTTATTTTTTTCTGTATAGTTTTCCAGTTGTTTCGATACCTGTTCTTAAATTATTATCTCTTGTATTGAAGGATCTTCTAGGCAGAGAGAACATTAGTTAGCATGGTGCCTGGGACTTAGTAAAAACTAAATGATGAGAGTGTTGGTTATTTTTGTGGGTGGTGGTGGTGGTGGTGGTGGTTCAGATTTAAGGGGTAAAGTTTAGGATGAGGTTCCTATAAAGATGGTGGATTTAAGTGTATGTATAATTTGTAGGGACATAGCCAGTAGAGTGTGAATATCTAGACAAGAAGGAATGAAAGTTCTGGAAGGAAAGAGATGGGCTTTAGAGTACAGACACAGAGGTTAACCTTAAACATGAGACTAGAAAAAAGAAGGTCAGGATGACTGCTGTAGATATAGAACACTGTAGATGTGAAGGTGAAAGTTGATAGACTCTTTTTTTTCTTGAAATAGGAATTAGGGGCACTTCAATATCGAGGTAGCTGTATTGTAAAGTACTTGAGGAGAGTGAGAGATGAATTTTGTGTTTTCATTTTCTCTTTCTATCCCCTTCTCTTATAGGTCACCCTTGCAATTATGGATATTTAGAAGGATCAGACAGTGTGGAGGGGGAGTTCCCCTCCTCACTCCCCCTTGGTGCTTGACTCCAGGAATAATTTATAAACTGTGCAAAGTTTTTTCTTTTAAATAAAGAACTTGTATTTGATATAAACTTTATAGAGCTATTTATAATTTTTTGACTTAAGTGCCAAAATAAATTATACAAAGATTTATAGTTTTATACTTTTGCCATGAGGATTTAAATTACAATCCTAAACAGGTCCTTTATTCCCTGTAAATCTTTCTGAAAGCATCTTTGTATCCTGGCTTTTTCATGTTTTAAAATTAGCCTTATCTGACTATTCTGAAGAAGGAAGCAGTATAAAACAAAACAAAACAAAAACAGTTAGGATGAATTCTTCCATCCCTGACTGCACGTTCAAGTGTCGATCCCTGAAGCATGCTTTGGATGTCCTTTCTGTGGTAACCAAGGGGAATGAAAACCAGATTAAGGCCTTTCTCTCCAGTCATTGTTATAATGCTGCAACTATCAAGGATGCCTTTGGCAGAAATGCCCTTCACCTTGTTTCCTCCTGTGGGAAGAAAGGAGTGTTGGAATGGCTTATTGAGAAAGGAGTGGATCCGCTGGTGAAAGACATCGAGTCAGGATGGACAGCTTTGCACAGAGGCATATTTTATGGACATATTGATTGTGTTTGGTCACTATTGAAGGTAAGTGTCATTTGTTTATTTAAAACTGCTGGGTCTGGCATATATTTTTCTTAATCTTTTTCATACACCCAACATAACTTTCCAAAAATTATTTGGATTTGTTCTTATTAATTGATGACTTTTATTGTAGTAACTCATCTTTAGAATTCAAATCCCATATATTCTTTTTGTTTAAACTTTTATGATGTAAAATTTTAAACATATACCAAAGTTTACAAGATATAATGAACTATTGGCCAGTTTTGTGTTATGTATGTCCCACTGATTTTGTCCATCCCATATTATTTTTAAGTAAATCTCAGATATTTTATCATTAATCAGTACTGTGTATCTTTTAGTATTTTTAAGAAATATGGTTTAGGGCCAGCCAAGTGGCTCAGTTGATTAAGAACTTGTTCAAGAGTGCAAGCTCTGAGCATCAGCGGTTCAATTCCCGGCCCAAGCTGAGTTGCCGCTGAGCTGCCAACAGGTGGCAGGATGCCTCAGCTAAAAAAAAAAGAAATATGGTTTACTTTAAATAACCATTTTAGCTACTTTAAAAAGCCACTAGTTATTGAAATATGCATACATCACTTAGGGACCAAGTTTTTGGGTGGTATGTTATTCCTTGTTTGGCTAGGTTAAAGTGTTGATACTCCTTCAAAAAATTAATAATTAGAATCAGCTTAATTTATTTGTAATTGCCCATCAAGTAGATTAAATCTAGATTTCTTGTAGCTAAATAGTGAAGTGTTTTGAGATATACCCCAATGTCACTTTACTATTGAATGCAAATTAAAAATTTATTATCAGAAGTCATGAGTTTTAAATTGAACAGTTTTGTTTTGTTTTGTTTTGTTTTGTTTTGTTTTGTATTGGCATTTTGTCCTGTTTGTGGAGGACCCACAGAAGAACAAAGCAGTTCCTGTCCTCGAAGAACGTATGGTCACATTAGGGAGCTCATCTTTGGTGTCTTCATCTGTTTTTGACTTTTAAAAAAGTATTTACATAGTGGTCTTTATGTAGTAATATTTGCTGATCAAAATAACTTTTATTATATGTAATTTTCAGGATAGTCAGTAAAATATTCTTTTTTGGACCTGAACTCTCTAGGTCTACCACTAACTGAGTCATCTTGGATAAGTTACTAAATCTTGAACCTCAGGTTCATCTATAAAAAGAGAATAATAATAGTACCTTCCCCATTTTTTTCCCCCAGGGAGTTCTAGTGGAGAAAAAGCCTTTCTTGTGTTTAATTACTGTTAATTCCTCTTATATATAAAAGTTTTGGGTATCAGTTTAATTCCCTTATTATAATCTGTTTTGTAGGGAAAGCTAGGTTAGTAAGAGTTAAAGCATTTATCAGCTCTACTCTTCTTGCTCTTTACCACTTCTAGAACCTTGGCTTTTTTCCAGTTTCTGCTGGAAAATTAGATGACTGCCAATGCTGTTAAGTTTGAGAGTGTTTTTGGATTTTCTGCTATCCTAGGTAGGGGTTGCCACTCAGGTGTTAGGGTTTGGGGCTTCGATTTGAAATAGGCTCTGGCCTGAATTTTGGACCTTGCCTCCTTCTGGGGTTTCATTTCCCTTTAGAAACCCTCAATCATCTTCACCACCTTGGCTAAGAGATGTCAGAAAGTTGTGTCTTGGGCTACCTGCCCTTGGCTTGACTGTCTTATTATCATCAGATTCCTATTGATCAGTGATAGACGTCTAACACCAATGCATTCCTCTGATAAAATATTCCCACAGAAACCTCTTTCATCCATTTAGTATACCACATCCTTCTTTCCTTTGGCCCAGGCTTCGTTGATGGGGTGTTCATGTCAGTTCTACTTCACATGACAACTATAGCGCTTAAGGTATTATGGATTGGCAGAAAGACACCGTACAGAAATGCATATTTTAAATGAATTGCATTTGATAAAAACCTTATAACTATACAAATTTTAAATTAGGTGCCAAATAAATCATACAGAAAATATACACCCATACTATCAGTTGTGGATTGCCAAAGGTAAAATACCGTAGCAGAAACTTGTCTGCCAAAAGCTAGAGTAGAAACAGCCTATTTTATGCCACTTTTCTTTGGCTTATTGAGTCTATGAGACGATGCATGGTTCACAAAGAAGGTTTATGCTTGTAGGGTCCTGCTATATTATTGCTATACCATTGTTTTTTACTACTGGTAGTTTACATTACTATTCTGGAAGAACTTGCTTTAATTTTCCTCATTTGTAAATAGAAGAGTTAACTGAGTCATAAGGTTGTGTGGATTAAATGATACACTATTTGTAAAGTATTTGGAACAAAAAATATTTTTTTGAGTGCCTGAAGTGTACCAGGCAAAAATCTAAGTGCTAGGGATATTGAAATGAACTAGACAGACAGAATCCTTTTTCTGAGTTTTTATTCTAGTAGGAGGAGAGAGACTAAAAACAAAGAATTAAATAAGCAAATAGGAAAGTGCTTAGTAAATGCTGGTGTATTAGAGTTCTTTTTCTCATGCAACAAAAAACAATAATGGTAACTTAAGCAAAAGGTATTAGAGGGATATCAGATACCTCACAGAATAGAGAACCAGGTCATGAACCAAACCAACAACACAGTTAACTGTCAAATTATAAACAAGACAAATCTCAGACTACAATAGAATAACTATAAACAGAATAACTGATTTGAAGTTCCATTGTCCTATGCCCTCCCCACCACCTCTCACCCCCAGGATAATTAGATAGCAGGGCAAGTTGTTTATTAAAACTATTCCCAGTTTATGATGTTAAAACCATTTCATTTGAATATAAAAGGATGTTTATTTTTCTGTATTCTCTAGTAGGAAGGCATCTAGCCAGTGTATCCAAAAGTACAATATTATCAAAGCTTTAAAGAATAGGCTTGAAAGGAGAGTAGAATACACCCCTGTTTTACCCCACAGGAAATTATGTAGTCTCAAGATACTCTTTTCATCCTGACCTTTTTGGTAGTATATGGGCAGCAGTAGCCAGTGAGCGATATTAAACTCATTCAACTTTGCTCATAACCAATTTGGAAAGATTAGAGATTGAGCTACTTCTGCTGAACCACTTCATGTCATCTTGGCATCACTTCTTATCTAGCTACAGTTGTGGTAACCAATTGTGCAAAGGCTTCTAGCAGCTTATACCTTCTAGTGGAGGTATAATCTGCACCTTGTTTCTGGCTTGTATTGCATGCCTCTTTATTTTATGCCCCAGAGCTTGGCAAATGCATGACCAGTCAAAAGTACAGGAGCACCTGGCCAGCCAAGTGGTGCTTTGGTTAAGAGTTGGCTTGGGATGCCATCTCTGAGCAGCAGGGCCCCGGTTTGAATCCCACATGAGGGCCAGTGATGCTGCGCCCTCTACAGCTAAGATGGTGAACAACAGCTCAACCTGGAGCTGGGTTGCCAAGAGTTGCCGGCGACAGTGTAGGCTGTAGTGAGGCTGGCCGGCAGCTGGCGTGTGCCTTTGTGAGCTGCTGAGCCACCGTGATCTTCTGTCCAATGGCTGGTGAGCGACAGCCTCACCCGGGAAGAGCGCAGGTCGCTCTTCCCATACCAGCATGGGCCAGTGAAGCAACGTCCTCCACAACTAGACTGAAGAACAAAAGGACAGCAACTTGTCTGTTCCCCTCCCCCAATTCCCCAATAAAATCTTCAAAAAATAAAAGTACAGGAGCGCTAAAGCCCCAGTACAGTCAACTGTTGGCTAACGAATAATGGAAAGTGATGGAGTGATGGTAAATACTTCCTTGCCCCTTTTGTCCCTTTTTTGGACAATTATTATGTGATATATTTTATAAGGTTCCCAGATCGTCCTGGCATGATCGTGCACTAGCCTCCTTAACAGTGGGTCTACTTGACAACACATCCTTATATTGGTTTTACCTCCTTCCTTGAGAGACTCTCCTGGTCTCTTACCACTGCTTTCTAGGATCTCTTCCCAAGGAAATTACCTGCAAGCCAGTCTTTATCTTAATGCTTTGCTTTTGAAGAAGACATTAAAAACAAACAGCAGTTTTCTATATTTGTTAACAGACATCTTCAATCGTGTTACCAGTGGAATAAATGTGTCTAAAGTCCATTTGCTCCTTGTTGTAGAGCATTGGCACCAAGTGTTCAGGCATATAAACCTGGAATATATTTAGATGTTATTTAATAAGCTAATGAATTTATCTACTGTTTTGGGGTTATGTAAAGTATTGATCTTTAAAGAAATGGGATAGACTACACACGGGTCCTCCTACCTTTAGAGTTTTGGATGTGTGTGTTGAAGTGTCAGAGCCCGCCATATCTAGGGAGCCTTGAAGGCAAAAAGTGTCCCTCTAGTCCTTTATGCCGTTGGGGCTATTTAAGGTAATGCAAGTGTATATAATCTTACTAGGGTCCAGTTGGTATAAATAAAGTTTAGGACAAATTGATAAAACTTGCAAAATAAACTCTCCAGGGATTGAAGTTTCTGGGATCCTGTTGGTCAGATTCATGGCTTGGAACACTGCCATGGAATCCACCCTTCATACTGTGGAAAAGGCCAACCTCAGGTCTTCCCACATGGATTTATTATATCTAACTTTTTGAAAGTAGTAGGCAACATACAGCTTTAAATTTATTAAGATCTTAGATAACTTCTGATTTTTGTTTTACTTGCTTCCTCACTAACTTGAGTATTTTTTGTACGTCGACAGTCCTTGTGATATCAAGTATTATAACCATCTGGAACATAATGAAGTTAGAATTGGTTTTAGTTTATTAGAATGCATTGTTATGAAGTAAGAGATTTCTTCTTTCCTAAATAACACAGAGTATGCTAACATGTCCCAGTTAGAGTTTAAAAACTGTATGGTTCAAATGCTGG